TTTTTTTTTTTTTTTTTTTTTTATAAAAGTCACCTTCTTCCAAAGACTGAATTAATATTTTTTCTCTTATCCCAGTTTCATGTGCAGAGGCAGCTTTAAATTATCATGATTTGCTTGATTGTTATGACGCCACAATTGACTCAGACAATGCTATGAGTTTGGAGCAGAACTAGCCTGTTTTATTCCCAAAATTTTAAAATAACACTTATTGAAAGCCATTTCCATAGAGTAAAACAATTAAAAGTAATTCCGACTATGACTTTCGACTTACAATTTTTCTTAATTGTGAATTCTATTTCGCAACATGCCTTCATTTTAAAAATAAATAAATAAACAGAATTGACCATTTTACAGACAAATAATCATAAAAGGCAGCTTTAAACACAAACCTTTTCCTTTGTTATTGTATTTTTACAGGTACAGAAGCAAGATTAATCAAACAGGCCAAAGCCCATGTCTTCATCAGACTCCTCAGATTCTTCCTTCTTCTCTTCCTTTTTCTCTTCCGCTGAAAAGTAAACATGCAAATGTGAAATTACACATCACAAGGCTTGCTGGTTATTTCTAACTTCAACCACAAAGTATATCATCAGTGGACCAGATCAGCCTGCCTATAATTAAAGTTTGGACTGCTGCTGTTTAGCAAGAGGGAAGGAATGTTACGATCTGATCAGATCCATTACAAACCAATCAGTGTGACGTTCAGCTACTACTGAAAAATAGATAATTCACACCAGGAAAGGAATCCGAAAATTGTGCAAAGGGACATTTTGCTAACTGGAAAACTAAACAATGACATTGAATTAAAGGGGTCATATGATGCGATTTCAATTTTTCCTTTCTCTTTGGAGTGTTACAAGCTCTTGGTGCATAAAGAAGATCTGTAAAGTTGCAAAGACTAAAATCTCAAATCCAAAGAGATATTCTTTATAAAAGTTAAGAGTCAACCACGCCTACCTAAAACGGCTCGTTCTAACACGCATAACGCCGCCCAAATGTTCACGCAAAGAAAGAAGGCGTAACTTTTATTCTCGCTGTAGTAGTATTGTTGCCGCCGCTGCCATGTCGTGAAGGCGCTGTTTCTCGGTGTGAAAGCGAAACTACTTTGTTTGGCCTTCCAAAAGAAGACGATATCCGCTTTGTCATGCCTAGAGCTGATCCGTGCTGGTCGCTGAGGAAATACATCAACTTCGCTGTGGATCGCCGGATCGGCTTTCACTGTGGACGAAGTGGAGTCCAGCCCGGGGTCGCCACATGTGGTTGCCGCAAGCCCACCGGCCGCTGCTCACTCTAGCCCGCCGTGTGTGACGCTGTGTTTTGTTGTGAAAGCGAAACTACTTTGTTTGGTCTTCCAAAAGAGGACACGACTAGAAATCAGTGGTTAAGTTGTAT